AAGTTAAGTCATGATCATTCAATTTATTCAAAAGTGATAAACATGAAGGAACCAAAGCTACCTAGAAGTTGACCACTTATGATACTACAAGATGACATAAAACTCTTTTCTACATACAAATATCAGTCACTGTAAATTCATGTGCATGAATCACTTTTGGCAAACATTCAAAAAAATGATAGAAAATAACAAAAAAGTGACATAAATTTAAAAAGGTGACTAAGAATGTTTCTCTAACAAAAAGGAATTAGAATGTTAAAAGTCATCAAATGTTAGATCCACTCTTGAACTAAAATGTTCTTTTGTGCAGGTGACAATAGCTTTTAGTTACTTTGGAGAAGGTATGGTGCAGAGGATGCCAAGATGTCAGAGATGGTACATCCATGTGGTGAACAACGATATTACTTTGGAGAAGGTTTGGTGTAGAGGATTACCACATTTTAAGTGATAAACCAAATTTTAAGTGGAATTAAATCCAAATTAACAGTAATCGCTATACAGCATTATTGAATAGAAGATATATGCTATTGGTGAAAGTGGTAATCCAACCACTTTTTCATGGGATTTCAGCTACACAAACATTCAATTCACCACATTTTAAGTGGTAATCCAAGCATTACCCACAAAAGATACAACAAATTTCAAGTATTATTATCATACTAAAATATTAAAAAAAAAATAATGTTGCTACCTTGGGTTTATAGACGGATGAAGAAAGTTTGTTCCTCTTCTTAGAGGAAGGTTTTTCATCGAGATTTCTTTGCCTCTTCGAGCCACTTTTTTTAGTCATTGCAAAAATACGAGTTAATGATCGGAATCGAAATCAGATTTTCGGATTTCAGGTCTAGGGTTTCGGCTAGTTGGGATTTAGGGTCGAAATGAGAATGAGATAGTGAAACAGAACAGATACGAAGAAGAAATCGATGGAAAATGGTCGAAAATGGAAATTTATAGTTGGATTTTGCTCGTAAGGAATCGATGGAAAATAGGTCAGATTTTTGCCTCTGGACGATTTCTACGAATGAGGATGTGAACCCGAATGGATACAAAGGGGAGACGAAGAAGAAATCGATGAAAAATAGGTCGGAAATAGAGATTTACAGTCGGAATTTGTAGATTTTTCCTCTGAAAATTTGGGAAAATATTTTACGTTCTGGGGAAGGAGGGTAGATTACTGAATTATGTGGTTTGGGCTTGTACATGTTGAGCTTTTTGGACGCAATTAATACTTTATTAAAATGTTTAATTATAGTTTAAGAATATTAATCAAAACACTGTTTAAAATTAAGGGGTATATGGCCTAATTTCCTCATAATCTCACTCGTCTGTTCAAAATAATATAAGAAACTAGTTAAAGAGCACATCCAACGTATGTCAAGGTTTTCTCCATAAATACGTAAATAACTAGGGCCATTTGAGCCCTATTCATGGAGGAAAATAGGTTTTGAAATAAGATTTTTTTTTTTGAAAAATGGGTGTTTTAAAAATATGAAAATTTTCGAAATTACATGTAAAATATGAGAGAATGTGATTGAAAATGAGTTTTAAAAAAAAAATGGAGTTCAAACAGACTATGTCCCTGTTTAGAGTAGATTAAAATAAGTTTTTTTAGTAAATTTTGATAAAAATTGATGAAATGTATGGTTGAAAAGTTGTGAGACTCATGAAATATGTGATTAAATTAATTATTAACTTTGACTTAAATTAAAATTTGGATTTTAATTCGTACCAAACATGGGCTAAATATACAAATTGCATTACGTGTATGTACCATATGTACTACACCACCCATTTGATTACCATCATCTCAAAACTCTTTAATATCATATTCATTTTCAAACAAATATTTACACAATAAAATATTTTACACGTAAATTCAAAATTCAGTGTCACCTAAGTGCTTATAAATACCATCATTCTATGAGCAAAAATTCCAAGAATATACATTAATATGCTCTCTAAAAAGATTCATAATGGCAAAAATTTCATATATGGTAAAGGTTCGCAGAACAATCTTTTCAGATTAGGACCAAAATCTTTGAGAGTAGTACACGAAACCTTATTTCATTCAAATCTTGGTCTTTGCATGCTCATATTTCTTTCATTCTACGTGTCGCGTTGTTAACTAATGTTTATCAAAGTCATTTTCTTACCAACCTCAGCCAAAATTAAATACTTTCCTTGTAATAAACTTACAGTTCTAGTCTTGTAGATGAATGCACGATGCGAAACTCCTCTTTTTTGAGCCCATGATTAAAATTTTGTTTCTTTAAAGGGAGAATTATTATATACCTATTAATTAAATAAATTGCTATTTTTTCAGTATCATCTACAACAAATGTGACCATCTAACCTTTGTTTTATTTTAACTAGGGAAACTGAAAATTAGATACACAAATGTCAAAAAAATTGGAATTATTCTAGTATTTAATAGAGATTAAAGTGTAATTTCTGATATATATATATATATATATATATATATATATATACACACACACACACCACCCGCGACTACTTTAGTCTGAAATTTTGAGCAAGGTAGATACACTTCTTTCGATTGATTATATACTAATTTTCTCAAACTTTTCCTACATATTACTTCACTGTCATTAGGTGAATTAATAAATAAATTGTATTTTATTAATTATAATTATTTTCCTTTCAAGAAGATTTCTTCTCAATTACTTCACCATTACTGACTAAATAATATACAAATTGTCTTCTTATTCAAATCTCGGTTTAGTTCTGTTATGATGAACAATGTATAACTTTGACGTAATGCTTACACATCCATACGTCATCCTCTCGAGAGATTTCATCACATCAGAGTTGATATTGTGGGCCAACTAATTAGATATAGTAAGCAAGCTAATTTATATTATCATTAGTGATTAGCATTTGGGCAGATTTTTGTTTATTCCTATTCTATAATGAATATCCCCAACACTGGTAGTTTTAGAAGAAAATTGGCTTGGTAGCGATTAGAGTCGAACAACTATTTATACTAAACACGCATCTCTTATAAAATCGTAAAGCTATACAAGATCGATTCTGTTCACAGAAGGCTAAATAAGTTGATAATAGAAATCTAGGGACCGAACCTCTATAAATTTCTCCTCTTAAACGTCTTTTCTTTCAAGAAAGAAATGTAATCCAAATAAAAGTGCGAATGCAAAAGGACAAGTATGATTATAATTTCTTTCGTATTAAAGATTTGCATGACAGTGAAGAATAAATAAAGGGTGTAGGTGTAAAGCATTGGGTTACTAGAATCGTGTGGAATGCCCACATTACATTAAGCAATAATTGAACTTAATTTAATAAAATATGAGACAAATGGGCAGACCATCTGTATCAAATTAAGGTTGTATTACATCAGCCATTGCAAAAATCATGGCCACTTGTCTCCTCATATCAAAATCTAAGTTCATCCCAAATCAACGTTATTAAAATTTAGCATTATAATTTACCGCCCCGTTTACTTCATATATATATATATATATAATACACCAATGGTTTGCCATTTTATTGGAATTACAAGATAATTTCAAGAAAAGAATGAGCCAACTCTTCGATGACACGAGATTAGTACACGTAACTTTACAATATAATGAACGAAACTTATTTTTCTTCGTCAATGTTAACTGCTGTTGTATGAGAACATATTTAGCATGTTAAATAAAACAAAACTGGCGGTTATAAAATTAGTTAATTTTTTTTTATCTATTCTAACGTACCAAATATGTTCGCGTGTGCTTAGACAAAAAAAAAGAAAAAAGAAAAAAAACAAGTGCTAGTGAAAATGAGGTGCATATAATATTCACTATAGGATCTTTGGATTAGGATTTGGTTTGACCAATCTTGGGTTCCACCATTTACATAATATACACCTAATCCAACTTATCATGTATTTTGATACCTGTCCACTGCCCCTATAACAATATGTTACAAAAGGATTTATTAGTAAGCATGAAATGCTTGTGGAGTGAAGTGGTTATGAATAGAGACTAGATCATTTTTTCTTCTTTTTACTGTGAGTTATATCTTGGTTACAAAAAGTGAAGTGGTTGACACTCCAAACTAAGGCAATAATTCAAGAATTTATGCGTAAATAAATACCTTGGTTTGCTAGAAAATTGTACAATTTGTACTCTATACTTGACTAGACGAGACATCTAGTTAATTAAATCACATGATCCTTGATCATGTTTGCTCCATCCAACGTACAAAACATGTTTTATTGCATTGATCTACTTGCAATGTTTCCAGCAGACCATCCAACAATTTTGAGTTTAGTGAGTGTAAATTGGATTGAACGCTACTGAACATGATCAAAGAAGAGAAAAAGAGTTAAAAAGTCTTGTTTGGTGTTTTGTTCAATACGTGATTAAACATGCTCTGAATTCCGAAAGTTTGTATCATCTAAAAATTATATGTGAATTGTTCACTAATCAAAGAATACTTGTCTTCATATCCAATGAAAAAGGGAAAGAATCTTTACAAATTAACATGAAAAATTGAAGTTTAGTAGACAGAAAATCTAAAAGTCTATGCATTGATACAATTGCAGTTGAAGTTAGACATGTTCTGGTATGAAAAAATAAAGTTGTTGAAGCCTAAGCACAGAGAAAAATTTGACAAAGTGCCAAAATCCCATAGAAACTTGGGAACTTTTTCTCTCACAGAACCTTCCTCACCAAACTGCAACTACTCATGTCCCACCATTCAATATTCAGTCTATAATAAGAGACTCTTCTGTCAATCTTTATATTTCCCCATAAGCTTCTTTTCCAAATCAAATCATTTCCCCGGCCTCTCCAAATCCCTCATTTTCACTTCTCATTTAAAGCTAATCAATTTAAATTATTCCTGTGATTTCCCTGCATTTCTATTGATAGGGAGAAAAGAGAACAAAATGTTAAGGGCTGTATTGGTTTCCTGTGTTCTCTTTTCTTTGTATTTATCATCCTATGCTCAATCATGTGCAAAATACAACTTTGCCAGTAACCAAGTATTCAGTTCCTGCAACGATCTCCCATATTTGAATTCATTTCTTCATTGGAACTACGACTCGACTTCAAAAACTGTCAGAATGGCCTATCGACACACGGGGGTCACGGCCTCTAAATGGGTCGCGTGGGCTATTAATCCAAGGTCTCATGGCATGGTTGGCGCTCAAGCACTTGTTGCTTTCCAAAAATCTGATGGAACCATGAGAGCTTACACAGCACCTATCACTACTTATCAGACTCAGTTGCAGGAAGGAGATTTGAGCTTCCCAGTTTCAGATTTATCGGCAGTATATTCGAAGGCTGAAATCATTATTTTTGCCACGCTGAAGCTGGATAACGTGAGCTCTACTGTTAACCAGGTTTGGCAAGACGGTTCACTTTCAGGAGATGCCCCTGCAATGCATCCTACATCTGGTTCTAACGTCCAATCAGTGGGGACTCTAAATCTTCTTTCAGGAGAGTCAACAACAGCAGCAGGGGCATCAAACTCCAAAACTAAGAAAAGAAATGTAAGTGTTCAAATACGTATACGAGCATCAATTTTAATTATTCTCAGAAACCCAGTTTTTTGCTAAGTAGTAATTCTAAAAATCATGTATTTACGAAGAAGTTACTTCTAAAAAGTATGCACGTCTGACGATTGGTTAATGAATATTCAGATTCATGGAGTACTGAATGCAGTGAGTTGGGGTATCTTGATGCCTATTGGCGCTGTATTCGCAAGGTACTTAAGAGTCTTTCCATCTGCTGATCCTGCTTGGTTTTATCTTCACGCAACTTGCCAAACCTCGGCCTACATCATTGGAGTTGCCGGTTGGGCTACAGGCCTCCAACTAGGAAGTGAGTCTCCCGGAGTTCAGTACACGTCCCACGGGACCATAGGAATAGTTCTCTTCTGTCTAGGAACCCTCCAGGTAATTATGAATTTCTTCAAATGTTTAACATCTAATCATTTTCAGATTTTGTTTAAAGTCTAACAAGACGATGGGTATGTAGTGAGCTAAGGTCTCTTTTGGATACAGGTATTTGCTTTGCTTCTAAGGCCGAGAAAGGACCACAAATACAGATTTTACTGGAACATCTACCACCACTCAGTAGGATACGCAGTCATAGTCCTAAGTATTATCAACATTTTCAAGGGGTTCGACATATTGAATCCCGAGAACAAATGGGAGAGAGCCTATATCGGGATCCTGGTGGTTCTGGCATTTTTGGCTGCGACATTGGAAGCTTATACATGGTATGTAGTTGTGAACAGGAAGAAATCTGCTGCTTCTCAAAAGATGCCTAATGGGGCAAATGGAACAAATGGACACAATGGAAATGGAGCAAGGGTATAAAAAGTAGGGATGTCAGTTTGCTCATATATTTTTCATATTTTTGTGCTGCTTTATCTCTGTGTACTTTTCCATTGATGGTGATGATGTTAGGTTGCTTGTACTGGGGAGAGTTTAGAGATGATACAAGTTTTTCACCCTTTTTCATTATTGATGCAGATTTTCTGTTGAACATTTATATATATTTGTTGTTTCTTTGATATATTTCATGTTGTACCAGTATGTTTTACATTTCTATTACAAATTTCTGTAACAATTTATCCAAACAATTCACCTAGTTTTATGCACGGCTAAGCAGTACAAACAAATTCTTGGATAATCGCAGGGGAGATTTATTCAGACTACAATAACCGGTATATTTCATCAGTTTTCGAGTCCCTTAGCAATTTTTTTTTATCAGGGTCAAAGTATATGTATATTTCCATTTTAATAAATGGAATCACAAATGACTAATTCAAGCAGTCCCTCAAATTTTACATGTCAAATCAAACTACCTCTTATCCAGGAAAGATTAGAACTATACCATCTCGTAACTCAAATCTACGCAAAGAAAAATGGATATGCGAGAAGATTAATGCACGGTCTTATTTGTCGGCCACTGGAGAAAGTAAAAATGAAGAATATAGCGAGAGAGAAGAGATATGTGGATATAGCCCCGGCAAAATCAATCATTGAATCAGACTAACAAATTCCCCAACAGTGATGTGTTATTTATTACCAAATCAAATTTTACAGTGTAGAGCACAGCTCGAGGTCTTAGTTCATGAAGAAGAACTAGTAGATACATCACATGTATTTCGACTAAAGAGTCTCTAAGAATCCTTCAGGGGAGCCAGTACAAGTGGATCACATAGAAACTTAACTTGTAAGAAGTTTCTGCAATTCTCGTATGTGTCTCTCATTCTGACAGTTGCAGTGCCTCGATAAATGCTTCCTTGAGAAGAGGATTTGATGCTGCTATTCGCGGAGATGTGATATCAAGTTCCTTGCCAGATCTGATTACAGAAGCATCATGATTCAGACATGCAAACTCTGACTATGGTTTTCAATGTCATACATAGATTCTATGTGGTTCAATTCAAAATCCAATTGGAAGTGAGTGTTGTTTTATCGGGTACGGCAATGGACTTTCGTGCCCCTTAGTTCAATTCAATATAAGAAACAAAAGGAACGCTTTCACCATGAAATAGACCCCTGTTTGATTCCCTTTACTTCAATTTATTTCTTATAATCATTTCCAACCATACATTTACACAATAAAATATTATACACGTAAACCCAAAACTTTTCCCTACTTTTTAACCACACATTCTCCAAAAAAATATTATTCAAAACTATGTTTTTAAAATTTGAAGGCCACAAAACAGGGGCAGAGCAAGAGAGCCATTCGAGAATTAATCTTAACTAAACTAAAGCTAAAAAAATGAAGATGAAATCTGAACTTATCCATAACTTCAGCTTTATTTATTATTCTGGGCAAGATAAGAATTATTTGAAATTTATATCTGATGGAAATAATTCCTAATAGTAAACTAATTGCAAATATCAACATTTATAGGCCATGTACAATTGTAAATAGAAAACAAAGAAGTATCCTGGAGTTCATAAACTTGCAAATAATCCTAATATTACTAGAAATAGAGATAATATTTGAATGACTAAAAGATTTTGCATCCAAAGACAACTTATTCCATTAAAGACTTTTTCTTCGGTATTCTTTCTCTAAGTTAGAACAAAGAAGAATCCTGGAGTTCATGAACTTGCAAATAATCCTAATATTACTAGTACTATTTGAATGACTAAAAGATTTTGTATCCAAAGACTACTTATTCCCATTAAAGACTTTTTCTTCAGTATTCTTTCTCTAAGAAAAAAAAGTATGTTACTTACGGATCAAACAGAACTCCTCCAGCTTCGGTTACAATCACAGCACCAGCTGCTATATCCCTGGACAGAGAAGAGAACTTCAATGTATATTTGGTAATTCGTATTAGATAGTACTCTTTAGTGCAATGGACAATATTTCTTTTTCTTCTTTAATTCTATCAATCTGGTCCAGCCAGCATCCTAATCATGCTCCTAGTAATTTATATCAAGATCCAAAATTGAACATTTTAAAATCTTACCAAGGTCCAAACCCAAGTAAATAGAATAGGTCAAGCCTTCCGCATGCAATCCCACAGAGATTCAATGCACAAGAGCCATTCATCCGAAGGGACCTAACCTGGTTGTACGAGAACCAATGTTCTGAGCTATATACAGAAACGTTCATAGAAAACTTGATTATGAAGCAACCACTTGTTTACCTTGAAGAGTAAGCTATTGATTCTATTTGTAGTGGCATCCACAGTAGACTTGTCCAGCTTTATTCCTGACTGTCATTTCATCAGGCAAAGCTTAATTAGCTTTTATAAGTAAAATTAGAAAGGTAAATTTCTCTAAATTTATAAAAGTCATACTCTTGTATGCATAATTGCAAAAAGCCGTACTGTTTACAATATATATTACAGAAGCAAGAATAACATTACTATTATAGACTATAAGAAAATATTGAGAGGAAAAGGAAAAATAGATCTAAACAGGGTAAACTCGTGAATTTTCCATTTCTTCGACTGCTAACACTTGCTGAACTGCAGGACCATATAAACGGACAACAAATTTAGCAAGTAAAGAGGCCAGGGGTTAGGTACATAATTATTTCCAATTTGCAGGTTGACATTCTAAGATATAGAACCAATAAAACAATGAACATTAGCAACCAAAGCACTGTTCAATAGTATGTTCAGCTGAGTACCTCTGTTGCAAGAAGGGACTTCACAAGCTCCGATTGAGAAGATACTGCAAATAACATAGGATGTCAACAGAAGAGTAAGATGAATGTTCAACGTCATTAAGCGAGACTACATGAAGAGGAAACTTGCCTTTGATAGGTTTTCCATTCAAAAAAGCACCTTTTCCACGGACGGCAGTAAAGAGCTGCGTGTTAAAAACCAAATATTTTATAAGTTTAACCAGCGAACTCTGCTAAAAAAAAAAAAAATACCGCAGACATAGTACATGTAGGAATTCTTATATCCAACACATCATTACAATCGTACAGCAAGGGAGAAAAATACAAAAAAAGAACACTAAAATCACTAGTCACTTGATTGGTCAGTTCCAGTTAAGGTCAAAGGCTCCTTTCAATTCATAAAGATATTACAACTACAAAAAGATGGTATGAAAACACTGAGTATGATTCAGTACAAGGTACAAGTCACAAGCTGCTAATAACTTAATAACTCAAAACAGTTTGGAGATGTACACTCTGAGACTCATTTTCCTTGATTTATACTTACCATCAAATCATTAGAAGTTCAATAGTTTTACCTCATCCATAATAGGATTGTAGACAACACCAACAGTTGGAATTCGTCCAATTGTCAGGCCAATAGAAACACATACAAATGGAAACCTGAAATTGAATGAAATAACTGAGAAGCTTAACATGGATAAAGAAAAATTCCCCCTTAACAAATGAAATGACATAAGATACTTGCCCATGCACAAAATTAGTTGTTCCATCCAGGGGATCAACAATCCAAGTTGGTTCATCAGTCAATTCTGAAGCACCACAAGCAGCCGTAGTTTCTTCCCCGATGAACTAAGATGAAAAAATTATTACAAAAGAGTTATGAGAACCAAGTAGTTAAGTCTTAAGAAGCATCACCTTTACACCCATCAAGAAACAACCAATAAATTCAAGCTAAAATAGGAAACAATGCAGAAGAGCCAAAGATCTAACCTTATGATCAGGGTAGTGTTGTTTGAGAAAATTGAATATGACTTCTTCACATTTCTTATCAGTTTCTGTGACTAAATCCACCTACACTTGAAAGCAGTAGGCTTATTAGCATTTATGAATTAATAATATTATTAGTAGCAAAGAAAAGAAAAAAAACTAATATTTTTGATGCAGTATTTTTTGTAATAATTGAATTTGCATAACCCCTTTCATCCCATGAATCAACAAAGAACCATCATTTACGGTGCATGGAGCTTCTTGTCCCATGAACCAACCAATAAAACATCTCCAGTAAACATAGTATTAAACATTAATATTCCAACATACTGGATTTGTTTTGCGAAATCCCTATGAATGAATTGTGAATTTTGTGTTCTCTAGAGCATATCACAAAATACAAAAACACCCTTGTTCAGATATTTTCTTTACCTACGTTTTAGGTTAGTTTTAGCCATAAGCCTGCCTCTGTTCTATCTACGTCGTCATGTATTTCCACCCACTGCAANAAAATACGTTAAACGTGAGCCTTTAAAAAGACGTCTAATTCTCATTTAAAAAAACTTAATTATTTCATTAACATTTATTATTTTTGCGATACAAATTTTTATATGTAATTTTCATCATTTAATTAAGAAATTTTCAAAAAATTTCGAAATTTTACATCTGAAAAAGTCATATCCCATGTAAATTTTCGGATGTAAAATTACATAGGGTATGATTTTTTTGGGCGTAAATTTTCGTTGTAAAATTTCTCCCAACTTCTTTACAAGTTCGATTGTGCCCCCCCAATGTAAAAGTTCTGCGTCCGCTATAAAACATCTCCAGTAAACATAGTATTAAACATCAAAACCTTGTTTGGCCCCCATTAAATTACATTACATTACATTAAATTTTTCTCTCTTCATTTCAATCACACATTCATCAAATAAAATAATATTACACACAAATCAAAAAAATTTCAACCACACATTCTCCCATCAATCACTATTCTAAAAATTTTCAACCCCTAAAAATGCAAAATAATGGGGGCCAAACAAGGGCTAATATTCCAACATACTGGATTTGTTTTGCGAAATCCCTATGACTGAATTGTGAATTTTGTGTTAGAGCATATCAAAAAATACAAAAACACCCTTGTTCAGATATTTTCATTACCTACGTTTTAGGTTAGTTTTAGCCATAAGCCTGCCTCTGTTCTATCTACACCGTCATGTATTTC